TTTCTACAGAAAATACAAAAATTAGCCAGGCGTGGTGACACATGCCTGTAGTCCCAGCTACTCGGGAAGCTGAGGTGGGAGGATCATCTGAGTCTAGGGAGGTCGAGGCTTCAATGAGCCGTGATTCTGCCACTGCACTCCAGTCTGGGTGACAGAGTGAGACCCCGTCTCAAAAGAAGAAGAAGAAAAAAAAAAGAGTAAGCACGGATTTAATAATTCCACACTGTATACAAAAATCAAAACATCACATTGTGGCCAGGCACAGCTCATGCCTATAATCCCAGCACTTTGGGTGGCTGAGGCACAAAGATCGTTTAAGCTCAGAGTTTGAGACCAGCCTGGGCAATGTAGTGACACCTCATGTCTACGAAAAAAATAAAAAATTAACCAGGTGTGGTAGTAGACGACTGTGGTCCCAGTGGTCCCAGCTAGGCTGAGGTGAGAGGATTGCTTGAGCCCTGGAGGTTGAGGCTGCAGTGAGCCATTATTGTGCCACTGTACTCTGGGTAACAGAGTGAGACCCTGTCTTGAAAAATATAAATAAATAAATAAAAAAGAAAACCCCCCAAAGCCACATCACATTGTACCCACAAAATACATACAATTATTGTCAATTAAAACAAAACATTAAAAAAATGAAGGAAAGGGAAATCATTTGTTGAGCACCAACTGTGTGCCAGGTGCTTTAAATACATAATACATGAACCCCAGCAGTTAATATGCTTGCTTTCCACACTTGCCAGCTAGATGACTTTTATAACATTTTATAAAATTGCTTAACCTCTTTGTACCTCAGTTTCCTCATCTGTAAAGTGAGGATAATCTAGTATCTACTGTGCAGGGTTCCCCTTCTGAGAGTTAAATGAGATAATAGATGGAAGGCCCTTTAGTACAGTGCCTGGCATAAAGGGTCAATGTATATTAAGTAACACACGTACACAGCATGCCTCCTTCCCAGAACTCCCAAGCAAGCCCTGGGTCACATGACCATCTCTGAACCAATCACTGTGGCAGAGGGTGGTCTCATGCTGATGAGCTGAGGCAGAGCCGTAGGCTACATTCCTAGAGTGCTAATGGAATTGGCCTCTCACAAAACACTGGGGCTATAAGAGGGTGTTCTGGATACTGAATTAAAAACTGGGCAGTTTGAGACTATGAGGAGGAAGAAAAGATGCTGGGGAGGCAGCCACAAGGTTCACTATGCCCTGGGTTCATTTAGCTATTCTGAATATTCTAGCAAAAACAATGCTGCCATAGATAGGAAAGTTTTCTCAAAACATATCTTCCAAATGGAATATCTTTTTAATCAACACCTTTCTTCCCACTTACCTTCCTAAGTTTCTGAAAAGTCATCACTCTGTGATGCCAAGCACTTTCTCCCAAACCCTGTCTTCTTTTGTATTTACCAAAAACCCAAGTTTATATACTCCCCAACTTATAACAATATACATTATAATCTTCCCCATTATTCTAGGTCACCATCAACACTGGAAGTTATCTTACCTTCCTTCCCAGGTGTCTGCTTACAATTCACATTTGGCGGCAGATGTTGCCAGCAGAATATTCATGTGCAGCCAAGTTAACAAGTGCTCAGGCTGCCACCTTTCAGAGTGTGTGTGCTTGTGTGTGTGTGTGCATCTGCTTGCATATATGTCCAGATTTTTTTTCTGTGAAAATTTATCTTTTCAATTAAATTTCAATAAAACCAGTTTTTTTCTGTGAAAACTCATCTTTTCAATCAAAATAATAATTGTCTAGAGGACAAAAATATGGACTTTAAGTTGATTTTCTACCCAGGGCTGCATCTTCAGTTAGCATTTCTAAATGTCTACCTTCTGTTACAGAGATACTTCATGTATTTATAATCTTTTTTGTGCTGATGCCCTGAAGGGATTTTCCTGTGAAGGCAGCAACTTAAAAATAAAAAATAAATTACTGATATCGAACATCCTCTTCTCTAGATTTTCTTGTAGTTTTCAAAGGTTGGCCAAATATTTATCTTTTGGGAGAAGTAAGTTGGAAATAGCAATAAAGAGAGATTAATTGCCTAAAGCATTTTATTGATTTGCCATGAGTGGGTAAATATATCAAGTTAAAAACTCACTGTGCTCCACCAAAGAGGACATGAAGGTTTTGGAATGGCTGAGAGGTGAATGCAGATGGCAAATGCAGATGGCAAGTGCAGATGGCAGAGATGAGTTTAAGTACCTTGTATACTATCCCTGTAATAATATTTTTCAAGCTCCCAGAAACCTATGCTTATGTTGACTGCATTGTGTGTGGCTTTGTTTTCTCTTGTTATTAGAAAAAAAAAATTAAAGCAAACCCAATACACAACTTACAGCTCCAATCTGAACAATGGAGAATCATTTTGTTGTCTAAAAACCTATACTTAAAGCTTATTCATGAACGAAGCCTCAGTATTCAAAAGATGAAATAATAATTTTTCAGCTAAAAATAAATGCTTTTTGGTGTTGTTTTAGTGAACTCTCAGGTAACATAAAGGATCATGCTTCTGAAAAAACACCAATAAAATAAGACAGCAAGTGCCTCTGCATGGACACAAACTAGGCATTGTTCTTTTGAAACAGATGCCTTGGTGCTACCAGTTCAAGAAAGAACTAAAATTACAGTCTACTTGAAGAACATTTCAAAGTGTGGTTTATGGCACTCTTCACCCCAGAAGTTACATTCTATAAATGTGGCCATCATTATAGAAATGACACACACATGCTTGCATGGAGCATAAAAGCATGCTTCTTTCTGTTTCCAGAAGCAGGCCTCTGTAAGTTACTGTTTTTCTGACTTTTATGGAGTGTTGTTTGCAACATAAAGTACTTGAAAAACCCACAGGGTATGTGAAAGGTGCACATGCTTTTGTGAGTGTGAGAGGGAGAGCTGGACGGAAAGGCAGAGCATGCCAACTGGGACTAGTTATTTCAGCTTTTCTGCAAAATCAGTGATGACGGCTGGGCGCGGTGGCTCACGCCTGTAATCCCAGCACTTCGGGAGGCCGAGGCGGGCAGATCACGAGGTCAGGAGATCGAGACCATCCTGGTGAACACGGTGAAACCCCGTCTCTACTAAAAACACAAAAAAATTAGTCGGGTGTGGGGCGGGCACCTGTAGTCCCAGCTTCTAGGGAGGCTGAGGCAGGAGAATGGCATGAACCCAGGAGGCAGTGGAGCTTGCAGTGAGCGGAGATTGCGCCACTGCACTCCAGCCTGGGCGACAGAGTGAGACTCCTTCTCAAAAAAAAAAAAAAAAAAAAAATCACTGATGACTGGGAATCAGCTCCCCAAAGATCACAGCACCAATTGCCTACAGGTCTGTGCTACGGAAGCTCCGCCTTCCATGGCTTGCTACATTTTGGGCACAGAGTGGCCTTGTGTGCCCGCCAACACCATCCGCTCACACACATCCATACCCTACACTCACCTCTCATTTTTGGAGCTCCCCTCCCCACTACCTCTTTGGGGGGGCCTAGTCCACAACCCCAGAACATTCTTCATTGGTACTTTCAAAGGTCTGTGGTGGGTATGACTAGACACTGAAGAAATCTCAACTCTCCTGTGTAGGGGTAATCAGAGCTTGGATACGGAATGAGAATCAGAAAAAGAGAACCAGCACAAACAGAAAAAAACAGCACTGCTAAACAGGTGAGAGAACAAGAGGCAGAGGCCATGGGAGTCATATCAACAGAGCGCACAGCTTCGGCTTTGTGCATTCTCATCAGCTACACTAACGTTTCTGTGGTTTTTTGTTTTTCAAAAGCTCGTATTGAAAAGTCATCCAAGATACACTGCTGTACTAACAAGAACCGTCCTACCTAAAAACACTTCCTCTAAGTACATACTGCCTTGCTGAGTTCTTCTCCTTACCTGATAATATCTAATAATGATGTTATAATATTTTTGCACTGAAGATTTGGCATATTGAAACCTTTTGGTCCAGCAGTGTCTTATTATGTTTTTTTTTTTTTGAGACAGGGCCTTAATCTGTTGCTCAGACTAGAGTGCAGTGGCATGATCACGGCTCGCTGCAACCTCTGCCTCCCAGGTCCAAGGGATCCTCCTATCTCAGACTTCTAAGTAGCTGGGACCACAGGGGTGCACCACCATGCCCGGCTTATGTTTTGTATTTTTGATACAGATGGAGTTTTGCCATATTGTCCAAGCTGGTCTCGAACTCCTGACCTCAAGTGATTCACCCACCTCAGGCTCCCGAAGTACTGGGATTATAGGCATGACCCACCATGCCTGGCCCAGCCCAGTAGTTTTCACAAAAGATAGTACACGTGTTACTGTGGTCAGCAATTTTTTTTTTTTTTTTTTTGAGACACAGTCTCGCTCTGTCACCGGGCTGGAGTACAGTGGTACGATCTTGGCTCACTGCAACTTCTGCCTCCTAGGTTCAAGCGATTCTCCTGCCTCAACAGGCGCCCACCACCACGCCCAGCTAATTTCTGTATTTTTAGTAGAGACGGGGTTTCACCATGTTGGCCAGGCAGGTCTCGATCTCCTGACCTTGTGATCTGCCCACCCTGGCCTCCCAAAGTGCTGGGATTACAGGCATGAGCCACGGCACCCAGCCAGCAAGATAATTTTAAGATATATTCAATAAATTCAGATATTTATCCTTTTAATGGTTATATATTTTTTTCTAATGCATATTAGAAAAAACATCACAAGCACGTCAGTCACTGCACTTAGTAGCATAACTTCCCATGAGCTTATCACTGATGTCCAAGGCCAGGTCTGAATAGGTGCTTTCTGGGGCAACCTGTTAGCATATGAAAGTCATGAACACTGATCGATGATCCCCAGAACTGGGGAGATGAATCTCCTGCCTCTTTGCCCTGGGACTATGGATAAGTGTCTCCTGACAATATCATACCATGCAGCCCTGTGAAGAGGGAGACTTCCCAGCCTCCTGCCAGCCTTGACAGCCTAGCCGCCGGCTTCAACAGTGGGTCTCCTTTCTCCAATCAAACACATTAGTTGGGATTTTGCAACATTTAATCAAAAAAGAATCTGGCATCTTAAAAGTTAGGTTTACAAACTTGATACATTCTCGATATTAGCAATTTATCTATTTAAACATTGTCTAATAAAATACCATCTATGAAGACATTAATACATTAATAAGATACTTAAGAGTTCATTAGAAGCTACAACACTGTGCAAATAAGTATCCAGTTTAATTGTAACAAACCACAATTTGTGAGCAAATTTAGGAATATAAAAAACATTAATTAGTTAAATACAATTCTCTGGGAATATACATTATACCTACAGCTGTTTTTACAGTGAGAGTCTTCCTTTTTTTTCCCTTTTAATTATCAAAATGGTAAATCACTGTATGGTCCTGGATCTCCATGCTATAAAACTGAAATATGTATTTCCAGCGTAGCAGATGGTGACCAGGAAGGCAAAGAACTGGAGAAAACAAAGCATAATAGAAGTGGGGTTTAGGGCACATCCTAATTAGCAAAAGTTATCATTTCACCTCCATTGAATCATGCACTCACTACCTTCTCTTGATACCAGGCTTTGTCATCTAAAACTACTTTATTGGTTCAATTACTATCCTTCTCAAATGATTTCTGGCTATGCTGCTTTTATTTTAGAGAACATCTGAAAGCCTGTAGTTTTGCTCAAATAACCTCAGGGAGTTCACTTAGGAGTGAATGCACCGGCAGTGCATCTGAGAAAAGTATATCATTTCTAATTTAGCACAGACAACCTAGGTCCAGGGTACAATCTGGGATTGCTACAGTGTCAGTTCACATAAATGAGTGGAGTGGGCCAGAGTCAGCAATGAGCCCACATGGTGTGTGTGGTGTGAACAGGGAGGAGGAAATGCAGGCCCTTCTGAATTAATGGGGCAGCGTCCACCCAGTTCTAATCTACTCTTGCTATGTGTTAACTTGAGCCCAGTCTTGACGAAGCTTGTGATTTTTAATGTCACCGGCATCCATGTGCTCTACTTTTATTTTATTTTGTTTTTTTGAGAGGGAGTTTTGCTCTTGTTGCCCAGGCTGGAGTGCAATGGCGTGATCTCGGCTCACTGCAACCTCTGCCTCCTGGGTTCAAGTGATTCTCCTGCCTCAGCCTCCCAAGTAGCTGGGATTACAGGTGCCCACCACCACCCCCGGCTCATTTTTTTGTATTTTTAGTAGAGATGGGGTTTCACCATGTTGGCCAGGCTGGCCTCGAACTCCTGACCTCAGGTGATCCACCCGCCTAGGCCTCCCAAAGTGCTGGGATTACAGGCATGTGCCACTGTGCCCGACCAATCTACTTTTAAATAGAGATCTTCAAATAGAAATAAAAGTAAAGAATATGATGAACCCCCATGTACCATCAATCAGCTTTGACATAATCATTCTGGCATTTCTGTCTAACTGCCTCCCCTCCTCCGATAGGCTTCTTTTGGAGATGGGCTATTTTAAGGCCAATCTCAGAGAGATTCTTAATACCAGTATTTTCTTTTTAATTAGAAAAATAATACACACTTATGGTTTAAAAATGCAAACAGAAGTATATAAATTAAAAAGTAAGGTCAGGTGCGGTGGCTCACTCCTGTAATTCCAGCACTTTGGGAGGCCAAGGCTGGAAGATCACTTGAGCCCAGATCCAGACCAGCCTGTGCAACACAGCGAGACTTAGTCTCTATAGAAAGTTAAAACATTAGTTGGGCATGGTGGTGCAGATTCTAGTCCCAGCTATTCAGGAGGCTGAGGCAGGAGGATGGCTCAAGCCGAGGAGTTCCAGGTTGCAGTGACCTATAATTATGCCACTGCACTCCAGCCTGGGTGATGGAGCAAGACCCCTTCTCTAAAAAAAAAAAAAAAAGAAAAGTAGAAGTTCCTCGTCCCACTCCCCTCATTTCCCAATCCCATTCTCTAGAAGGAACCTCTACTGGTATATATTTTTCTAGGCATTCTCAATGCATAAACAAATGTTTTCACTTTAAAAAAAAAAAACTAAATGGAATCATATTCTGTTCATTTTCTGCAACCTTCCCCCACTTAATAAATTATAGGCAGTAGAATTATTCTTAGCATGCTTTAAACAGTTTTTCTCCCTTGAATCCTTATCTTGTTCCAGTCATTCAGCATTCACTCAAGCATCTCCCAGCCTTTTCCCACTTCAGGCCAGGAGGGCCCCTGCCAGTTTTAGATATTTTCAAACCAATAAGCCAATTGCTAATTTGTCACTACTGCAAGCGCTGCTTTTTCCTGCAGATGACTCTGTCCTCCCCAGCCCCAAGCAAGCCTTGGAGAGGGAAGAGGAGGATCATGTGGGGAGGGAGGGCTACTCACCGATGAGGCCGCCCAGCTGTTGAAGTTGTGACTGTCCCTCTCAGGGGAGACGGAAGATGCATCTACAACAGCGGCAGAGAGGTACAAGACGAAGGCACTGCCGTTAAAGCACAGGCCCTGGGGGGACACAGGGGCAGAGTGTTTAGGGAGAGGGGAGGGTCTGCACATCTCTGGACTTCAGAAGTGACCAGGGCTGTACCTCTGGTGAGGGAAGGGGCCCAAGTGGGACACCTGTGGGAGGGTGGGAGACAAGGCGGTGGGAAGGCAGCTCTCAGGGCCTTGGGGAGGCAGCAAGTGCGAGAGGAGAGGGTTTTACGGCAGCTCATACCAGATGCCACCCCCTGCCCCCACAAGACACTGAGACTGCATGCCGCCCCTTCAGTCATTTTGCTTCTTCGGTTTGCTCCTGAGCCTCATCTCATCCAGATGTCAGCCGAGCTGACACTGTCTGAGGATGGCAGGCAACAGTGGCGCCCACTCAGTGGGCTCAGCCTTAGCCCCTGGCCCTCAGCAGCAGTTGTGGTCCTTGCATGTGTCCCTGACATAGAGGTGCAATAGAGTGCCCCCCAAAACAGACCCAGCTGACTCCTTAACCCCCTGTTCCAAACAGGGAGGGATATTTAAGTGAGCTTCTCTGTCCTAGCTGTAAGTTCTTAAAAAGGCAGTTATAGATACTATTACAGCCCTTTGGGAGCTAACGTCACCCTTGGCTTCACCTTATTTTTTCCTATTTTTAGAGAAGATATGTAAGTCCTGGTAGGTATTTGGTTTTCGGTTATGTCTAAACTCTAAGAAACCATGCTCTGAACCATGCAAAGCTGGGTCCTGCCTGAACAGGGGAGGGGCGGTGGTGAGGTGAAACCAGAGCAGAAACCAACTGGGGAGGAAGGGGGATGCCTCTCAAGGAGTGGGCCCTCTGCGGTCTAACATCTTCTTTCTCTTGGTAACTTGGAGACAGAGGAAGGGGTAGGGGAAAGGGAGGAAGCAATCTTTTTCTTCTCAGAGAAAAAAAAGGTACATAGAATTTTCCCACTGCAGGCCCTAGCATTGTGGCAGAGGTTGGATGTCCTTGTCACCACCTCCACCTGTGCTCACATTGTCCCCGGGTCAGGGCACTTCACCTTTAAGATAAGGGCTTCATCACAGTCAGACCCAGGGTCAGGCTGCCGAAACTGTCCCCTAAGAAGCCCTGGTCTCACTGAATGACTCATTAGGATTGTTGGTTGTTTTTTTGTTTACTTTTTGGTCTAGAAACACATCTGTGCATTCACACAGAAGCTCTTACTGGTATTTTTTCCACCTTATCACCTCTTAGAATATAGAGTTACGCACATTTAGTACTTGCCAAGCCATTTAGTCTTGTCTCGTCACTAATACTTCATAATTTAACTTTTTCCCTAGTGATGGGCATTTCAATGTTGCTAATTTTTCCAGGATTACAAATGCTACTGCAGTGAACATCTTTGAGGATGTGTTTCAGGGCTGTCATGCATGTCTAGTTCTTTATACAAGGAAAGAATGAGAATGAATGAAAGAATTCAGGGAAAGCTCAGCCTGGCCAGAACTGCCCTGATGTCCTGGGCCTTGTGCATGAACCCATGTGGATGAGAGGGGCAGAGGGGAGATGGGGGAAAGAAAGACTCTCTGAGTCTAGGACCTGTGAACATGCAATGACCCCATCTCTCAGTAAGGATGGCCCATTTTTCTGAACTCTAGAGAAAAAACAAACTGCTATTTCCCTTGGAAAGAAATGGGGAAGGGGAAGAAGGTTGGTAGAGACGTGAGTAGAAGGCAGGGGCATTCTCCCGCTGTGCACCCCCCACGCTGGGGGCTCTGCCAGGTTATTAGAAGCCTCTCTCAGGCACTATCTCACAGTACCTAACTTTGTGACTTCCCTAGTCTTGTTTAACACTCCCAAAAGTAAACATGTCCAGGGGAATGCCTGGGTTGGAGGAAATGTAGTGAAAATAAGTGGAGAGATGAAAGAAAAGAGAAGAGCAAAGAAACCAGGATCATCATAAAGGTTAAAAAAAGAAATCTGGGCTACAGAAGTGAAGGAGGGATACGTGAAGCTTCAGAGGGCTCTAGAATGTCACTGAGCTTCATAGAAACATGAGGTCTTGTTGCTATAGAGAAATAGGCCCTGGATCAGAGAGTCTTCAAGTTGAAAAACCTTATAGCTCCTCCAACTGAAATGTCAGTTCCCTGGGCCATGGTGAAAGAGAGCTACAAGGACAATATAGTAACTTAAAATTTCCGCTGGGTGCAGTGGCTCACACCTGTAATCCCAGCACTTTGGGAGGCTGAGGCGAGTGGATCACCTGAGAGGTCAGGAGTTTGAGACCAGCCTGGCCAACAGGGTGAAGCCCCATCTGTACTAAATATACAAAAATTAGCTGAGCATAGTGACAGGTACCTGTAATCCCAGCTACTCGGGAGGCTGAGTCTTGAGAATCACTTGAACCTGGGAGGGGAGGTTGCAGTGAGCCCAGATCATGTCACTGCATTCCAGCCTAGGTGACAGAGTGAGACTCCATCTCAAAAACAAAAACAAACAAACAAACAAACAAAAAACCCAAAAGGTTTCCAACTTCTTTTTTTGGAGGAAGGGAGGAGTGGGAAGTCTATTGTTTTCTGAAAGTCAATCCCTCCTTGGTATAAAAATGTTCTCTCTTTTTTTTTTTTCTTCCTCAAATACTGGCTTATTTTTACCCAGCTACGCATAGTACTTGTGGACATATTAAGATAAATCTCAGGTCTCAAGATAATGGAAAGAAGCCCTGAGATAATATACAGTTAGTAAGTTTGGCTGTGGTGACATGGCCCAAGATGGTGGCTTAGGAAAGAGAGTTCACTCCTATCTAAGGCGTAGGCAACCAGAGCTGCTCCGGCAGCCTCAGGGTGACAGGGACACAGGCTCCATCCGCAATACTTGGTCATCTCTAGAGTCTCACCATTCTCCACATGGCCCAGGAGGTGTCCCACTACCACAGCAGAATTCCAGCCGCTAGGAAGCGGGGGTGGGGGAGGAGAAAAGCAGCAGCCTCACTTTAGGGCCATGAAGCTTCACACATCACTGCTGCTAACATCCTCTCAGCTGGAACTCAGTCCCAGGGCCCACCCAGTGGCAGAGTGGCCAAGGCTCAATGGAAACTTCTATTACTACAGAAGAAAACGGATACTGGGGGATAATGAGCAGCTCCTGTCCCTGTTGTTACATCTAATCAGACAGCTAAGAAGGCAAGATTTTCAGGCATCTGATATTGGGTCCTCAAGAATTTAAAGACGTAGCTACCTAGGTTCACCATCTGGCATACCCAAACTGCCAAAAATTTAAGTGAACAGTTGGGAAGGATGGCTCCCCTGGAGCTTCACCTGCCTTTCTTTTCAGCATTTATTTAAATATCCCTTTTATTAGTATAATCAGCATTGTACACATCTTTTCCATCAGAGTCCATTTCTTTTCTCTTTTTTTTTTTTTTAGACAGAATCTCACTCTGTCACCTAGGCTGACTGCAGTAGCGTGATCTTGGCTCACTGCAACCTCTGCCTCTTGGGTTCAAGTGATTCTCGTGCCTTGGCCTCCCGAGTAGCTGGGACTACAGGCACGCGCCACCACACCCAGCTAATTTTTTGTATTTTTAGTAGAGATGGGGTTTCACCGGGTTAACCAAGATGGTCTCAATCTCCTGACCTCATGATCTGCCTGCTTCGGCCTCCCAAAGTGCTTGGATTACAGGCGTGAGCCACCGCGCCCAGCCTAATTTTTATTTTTAGTAGAGACAGGTCTTGCTATGTTGCCCAGGCTGGTGTTGAACATCTGGGCGTAAGTGATCCTCCTGCCTTGGCATCTCAAAGTGCTGGGATTACAAGGCGTGGGCCAGTGCACCTGGCCCAGAGTTCACTTCTTAAGGGTGGTAGGGATGTCCTCTTCACCTGCGGCTTGCTTTTCTGGCCCTCTAGTCCCTATTACCACACATTAGTGGAAGAGACACTCATGCTTGACAGAAAATTGGGTCTGAGCAAAGGCTGAGAAAAAGGTATAGGCTGATGCTGGATAAGAATCCCCTTTTCCCTCCCCACCTTATCTACAACCAGCTAGTAAAGGAACTCAGTGCTACTAAAAGTGCAGGAGTGGTATCAGCACTATCCGGAAATCTGTCAGAAAAGCATGTTCTCAGGCCCTACCCCAGACACACTGATTCAGGTCTGTTGGGAATCTCCATGTAGGTTTCATCTAAAAAGCTATATTTTGAATCCACAACCAAAAAAGAAAGAAGGAAGATATAATAAGCAACTAGAAGAAGGGCTGCTGGATCCAGGAGATGGGCCAGTAGCGCTCACAGCTATGTGGCTTTGGGCAAATAACCTCTTTAGCTGTTTCATCGGTGGCAGAGCTGCTGGCTGTCCCCGGCTATGTTTCTCTCTTTTTATATGGTAACGGAGTTTCCAGCTGAGCACATGGCCACCTAAAAATTCCACCTTCTAGCCTCCTTTGGAAGGAGATGTGGTCAGGTGACCCCGTTTAGGCTAACAGAATGTGAGCAGATGTAACATATGCAACGTCAACACTATGCCTTAAAGGGAAGAAGTGTGCCCTCCATTGCCCACTTTTTACCTTCCCTCCCCCTGACTAGGATGTAGATGTGGTGGCAGGTGCTGAAGCTGCCACCTTGGACCACAGGCCAACTGTTAAAGATGGCAGAGATGCAAGAAAGGAGGAACCTGGGGCACGGGTAATCTTATAGAACGGGTGACTTACCTCGGGACTATCACAGGAGAGAGAAATAAGTTTTAAACCAGTGCTATTTTGGACCTCTCTTATAGGGATTAAACCTTCCATCAAACTGATTGTACTCCATTTACAAAATGGGAAAAACCATACAGATCTCACCCATCTCAAAGGAGACCATATTGCTAAAGAGTTGTGTAAACTATAAAGTATACACAGTAGCTTACTTTTCTTATTCCTGTTTAAGGATTGTATCAGCTAGAGGCCAGAGGCAGTCATTTAGAACCTGACTGTGCCCGTCAGGCTAAGGCATTTGGACTGACTGGTTAAGAGGAGACAGGAAGACTCAGTGGATCCTGATTATAACGTGATCCCACCAGGTGAC